GTGATATTAGAAAATGGTAACATATTGGTAGATCAGAATAATTGAATATTGAAGAAAGTTATTATAATGGATGTCGTTGTCCATTATAACTTTAACGGAAATTAGTTCAATCTATACTTATATTAAAAGCTATACTATTTACTAAATGTAGTATGTAGAATAGTCAACTCTAATTAATGATTTGTTATTTTTATCAAGCATTTAATTATTGCATCTAATATTTTTGGTATGCAAATCAAATTAGCATTTAATTAGTTCCTAAAATATTGGGTATGCAATATTAATTTAGGAATATCCATGTAGTTCATAAAATGTTGGTATATAATACGTAAAAGAAGATTTTTTATTTTTTTTTTAAATATAAAATATTGCAATACGTAAAACTATTCCAGTTATTTTTTATTTTATTTTACATATAAAATCTAATCAATATTGAATTCATCCTACAAAATTTGATTTAGTTTAATTCTCCATACAATTGGCCGTAACTTTTTCAGTTGTATATTTTTTTTATTTATTTTATACTTTTAAATTAATGAAGCTCTCCGAAAATACCAAATCAAATGATTTATAAAAGTTTTTTTTTTTTTACAATTTTAAATCTATATAACCAGCTTAAAAAACTCATCGCATAGATATAGACGAGTTTAAGAAAATTTCATAAACCAGCTTATAAAATTTCATCTCCACGATTAAAAAAAATCAAATCCCTCATCTATCGTAACAACTTTAAAGGTAAATAAATAAAAGTCTAATTACTACTATAAATCCATCATCTATATAGGTTTTTTAAAAATTTAAATTTCACCTGTCTAATTACTAATATTTTAGATACTTTTAAATATTATTTGTATAAATTTTTTTTATACATTTGCTCTCTCTTTATATATACATATATGTAGGTTAAATGAAGAATTTTTAGACATATTTTCCTTACGGGTATTTTAGAAAAATATTGGTAACTTCAAACATTATTTGTGAATAATATAGAATATTTTAGATGCTTTTATAGATGTTATAAAATATTTTAAGTATTTTTAATATTTATATACCATACTTAAAAAGAATAATTTGCCAAAATAAAAACATTAAATACACATTGTAAATGTTAATAGGAACATTTTTCAGTGTTCGTCTTTCATTTTGTCAAAACAAATCTCATAAAATCGGTGAAGTCAAAATTTGTACGTAAAGTCTATCTATACTAAAAAAAGGTAGATTCAAAATTCTTTATTTAATTTCTTCTTTTCTTTATCTAATTCCTTCTTATTATCTAATTGTATAGAAATCTGCTCTGATTTTGTTCAATCCTCTAATTGTATTTGTATTATATCCCATCAAATCGATTTAACAAAAAAAATCTCATAACATCCGATAAGTAAAACAAAGTACGTAAAATCTTTACTAAATAAAAAAGTCTTTATTTATTATCTAATTTATTATCTAATTGTATGGAAATTTGTTCTGATTTTATAGTACGTACTACATATTGTGCACCCGTGTTCAGAAGCTACTTAACAGGCAAGCTCTGTGGAAATAACTCATTTATTGCTTCTGTCCCGTGCATACGGTATGTATTTGTATTACACATACTAGAAAATTGTGCACCCCGTGCATCGCACGAACTCTGTACTAATAAATGATCTTAAAATTGTTCACCCTGTGCATCACCCGTGTTCACATTTTGGCCTATTACAGGTTACGTACTATATATATCCCGTATATTTTTCTTTATTCATTTATATAATTATAAGACTTGATAAATGACCATAATTTTGTGCACCCCGTGCATCGCACGGGATCTGTACTAGTTATAATGACACACCATACAACACTCGTATAATTAAAATATAAGGTGATTGGATATGGTGTTGTTTTGGCTATGTTTTTTTTTTTTTTT